GTTTGGTTCAAGAACCGACGAGCCAAGTGGCGAAAACAAAAAAGAGAAGAACAGGAGCAGTTCTCCAATTTCGAGATCAACAACAAAATTCGCAAGTTCATCAACATCCCGGTGAACACGCATGAAAAACTTCGCCAATTGCAATCCGAAATGCTTTCGAAGGAGAAGATAGTGAACAAGTTTGAGGACATAAGTACCAGTGATGATGCGTCCGATGTGGAAGTAGTATGATGAGCTAACGATAACAGAAGCCGGAAAACGTTTGCTTGTTGCAAGGATGGCGTATAATTTTTTAATGCCATATTGTACATAACTTTTGCATAGTTTATATAGTCTTCTCGTCTGTGTAACTGCGTGGTATAGGTACTTCTAGAGTCAGCAAGGTAAATCATCCAACAAAAGTTTTCTTCAAAAAGCACGAGTGCAAGTTCATATTTAATAAGGTAGATCTGTATTCTAGTTGGATTTGAAATTGAACAAGACAGGCATCCCATGGATTAAAAAAAAAAGGTGCCTATGCAGTACTGCATCCTACATTCTGCGCGTTATCTCGTAATTGGCCTTAACAACTGTCTCAAAACCGGGAGACTATCCATTACTCCAACGGTGTTTTTCACTTACATGTAAATCATATTTTGCTGAATAATTGATGCAAAAAAATAATACAAATCAAACTCGTTAATCCATAATTCTAGGCTCAATAAGAGGCCTCAAGTTTTCTGCGAACCATGTCGGCAACTTTGCTATCGATGGCCTGTTTCTGCTCAACTCGTTCATTATGAGACAAGTCTCTAGTATTGACTTCACGGAGGTGCTGATCACCTGAGGACACTATTTCGTGACCGAAAACTATCCTGTACGGTGTGAAGCCTGTCTAATAGTGTAGAGTATTGTTTATGGTATGCTCTACCTCGGATATACGTGTGTCCCACAACCTCTGATCCAATTTAACATACGTTCTAATGCAGGCATCTGGGACCGAAAATCGTCGGAACCATTGTTCCTCTATGATTTTGATCGTCAAGCTAGTCTAATTTTTTCGGACTGGTACTAACACTGTCCAAAAATTTGCTGAAATTCAGTTAACAAACGGGAACTTTGCCGAGGTCTCGACTAATAAACATAAATTTTGCTGATATTATCATTTCCCCGTCGATGTTTAATTTCAAGATCATAGCTCTGGAGTTCAATACTCCATCGGCTGAGACGTGAAGAAGTTCGCCATTTACCGCGCATTATGTACGTGAGTGCCGATGCATCAATGAGTACAACGAAATGAGTTCCTTCTAGGTATGCTCGGAACTTTTCAATCGCGGACAGAACAGCTAAACCTTCTTTTTCTGAAGCTGCATAGCCGGTGTGAGCTTCTGAGAGAAGTACGCGATTACTTGCTCTCCCTTGTCCTGCTGCTGTGTTAGAATTGCCGCGATAGCAGTATCACTGGCGTCGCTCTGAATTTGGAATAGTCGGGTAAAATCTGGATTGCACAGAACAGGAGCAGATATTAGACATTATTTTATGCGGAGAAAAGCTTTCTCAGCTTGCGCAAATCTCACTGAAATTATTAATAAATCGTCTGTAGTAATTTGTCATGTCCAAATACCGGCGTAGGGCGCGCATCGAGGTCGGTCGTTCGTAATCCACGATCGCTTCGATCCTATCGGGATTGGGCTTCAAACCATCTGGTGTGAGTTAATAACCCAGATAAGGAAGTTCATTGAGACAAAATTTCGATTTTTGCAAATTAACCGAGAGATTTGCGTTCGTAAGATGATGTGCTACTTCCCACAAACTATTGAGATGCCTTTCGAAAGGTAAACCAAAACTTCCGGTTCTAGCTCTCCATACCCCAATACTTGATCCACCTGGCTGGAAAGAGTGGCTGAGCTGTTAATGGAAGTTAATATAAAGGAAGAGCTCCCCTACCTCTGGTGACACATAAGTATCAGTTTCGAAGAAAGGAACAAAGCCATTTTGCCGTAAGTTTTGCGAAACGTCAGTATCAGAGGGATTTGGACATGAAAATTCAACTTGCCCTCTCAAGGTGAATTCTCCGCGTTTTATTTTAACAAACCGGGCATAAACTAGTGAATACGTCACTAAAACCACAAAGTCGGCAAAACTTCTGTCGTTTGTTCCGGCATTCACCATAGTGATGTCCCGATTTACGATAACACACGCCAATCGGAGGTCGAAATTGAGCGGGGCATTCTCCTGCCTTCTGGATTGCTCCTTTTCAGGTTTACGTGGTTTATCGGATTCACTCTCATTTTTGCCAGATTTGTTATACTTGGGTAACGGATAAAATGTAACTGTGTACATCTTGTCGGCTAAACCTGTCACACAGCAAAGAGCATGAGGATTTAGTGACCGCTCCTTCAAAGACAGTAGATACAAGTCAGCACGTTTCGCCAATGTTCTCGCCAGCTGCAACAAGAGACACTCCTTCGCCGGTAGGATCCGGCCAACACTCTTCACCACTATTTTCACCAGCTTCAACGGTGGAAATTTCACCATTGTTTTCACCAGCTTCAACGGTGGAAACTTCGTCTTCCATGGAATCTGTTCAGTTTCTGTCAAACTTGGAAAGAATATATAATAACTCACTGGCCGCATTTTTGGGAATATATATGGATACAAAAACGTCATTTTTTGATTTATGTGATAGTGAACAGCAGGTTCTGTGTACCTTGTTTTGGAAACTTCGACCAAAACAATGTGTGGTTACTAAAGATTCATGGGCATTGTATGTTTGCGTTTGCATGATTCATGAAAACAGCAAATTTTTGTTTGATGCTTTACATAAAACAGCTTGTTTAAAAATTTTAACACGGAAGAAGATTTGAAAAACTATTTGGTGAACAAATTAGTATGTGTAAATAGTACAGACGATTGCTTTTTGCGATCTTGTGATCAGTGCAACTCAAGCAACATGATTGATTTTGTTGAAAAATATTTGGTCCAACAGAAATTTATAAAATTAAATATATTTTCTGGACAACCTCTCCTCGATGCGAAATAATAAGCAATTTTTATAAAGCTTAGAAAATCATTACTCACCAATTAAGTTTATAAAGATGAAAAAATAAACTTTGGTTGCAGGGAAAGAAATAATGTTTCATATGGATTTCGCTGAGAACTATTCCCTGGGCTTTGGCAAAACCTTGAGGTAGTTTAATTAGGCTACCAGGTCCCAGGGCTGATCTGGATCTTTACCACATTGGAAAGATGCACACTAGTGTTACCAAATCAGTGTTGATGCATACCAAAAGTGCATTTGATCCCGCTTATAAAAGCATATTAACAGATTAATCTTCACCGTACATTGTTTATTGCTCTGTACTAATAATAAATGAGCTGTGCTAAGCTGTGCTTAGCTTTTAATATTTTATTAGGAATGCTGGATTTAGTCGCAGTGGAAATCAATCCTTTATTGAATTTGATTTATTTCTATTTTTTTTTTTTTTTTTTTTATATTAATTTATTTGTACAGGCTCAATCGAATTGATTTATTTCTATGGATTTGCACGTTTGGAAAGTATCATCACAAAGATTTTGCACTCAGTCTACAGCTTGTGGGTGGGAAGCGTTGTGTTTGTTTTTTTTTTTTTATCTTTTTATAGAGTCAATTCTTAGAAATACGAAGCGAAAGACAAATCAAGCATTAAGCACAAGAACTTCAAGAAAACTAACAACACGAAGTCTGGAAACGGCAATGTTTCATTCAAAACGTCACGTATAGTCAAGAAGAATATTAACTCCGATCGTGACTTACTCAATGGAAGTTGCCACTGCTCTCAAAAGCAACAAAAAATCTCTCCGTAGAATGGAAACCACCATGCTCGCAGCTCTAAAGGCTCTTAGTTTTGAAGCAAGACAGCATCCTGAGGCATTCACCAATGAAAGCCCAGAACAACCACCACAAACTGTTATCAATGACTCACAAAGCGTAAGAAGGCAGTCCCAAAATATTGCAGTCAGAGAACTGGGGAACCACACGATCAACAATAAAATTAGAGTGGCGTGGCTAAACTAGTTTAGACATGTGGTAAGGAATACTTCCCAAGGAATACTAGGGAAAGCTCTCAATTACCGCGTGCATGGAAAAAAGAAACTAGGACGACCCTGCTTCACGTGGAAAACGAGTCTCAAACAGGAGCCACAAAGAAAATATTCAACGCACTTATCGAGTCTGAATATGAAGATTCGGAAGATTCCGTGAGCACGGAAAACACGGAAGATGATGCACGATTGTCGAAATTCGAAGGATTTTCGACTCCGGACAGCGAAGAAGAGCCTTTCCGCGGATTTTAGCAGTTAAGTAGATAACAAAATGTAAGTACATTATCAATCACTAAACTAATCAATAACACAAGTAAATGAAATCATAAAACAAGAATTACAGGTATTGCAAAACATGGTCCTCTGTACGTTTACTTTCCAACTTTTACCAATACTACTGTTACTCCGACTATCCCCTACTTGAAACACTATTCCTCCCTATCCGGCATCTTAAGCAGGATTCAATTGATCCCTGTGATTATTCTGTGGTGCCAAAAAAAAACCTCTACCCTTGTGCTGTATGGACAGTGATATTTTACTGGAGACCTGTAAACCTATGACCCCCTTCTGTGCTTGAAAATGAAATGAAAATTGAAAATGAATTTTTGATATTAGAAAACCAGTTCTTTTATCATTAATAAATAGGTTCCATACATGTTCACCCAACTTTCAGAAACATACTAATGTTATTCATGGCAAAACAACTTAAAAATCAAAGTTCACCTGACATCATAAATCTTTATGTTGCAGAACTATAACAGACAAGTGGCTTTCAACTGCAACTTATGTAATTCTAACCTACTTAACCTAACTTAGCTTAACCTAACCTAACGTACCAGATCCCTGATGATCTGTTAATTGGATCGCCTACAGCAATCTGTGATGGAGTCAGCTATCCGTAACTCCAGTGTCTGAAGACCAGCCAGGCGGTGGACCTCAGAGTTTCTAGTCCGGGGTGGACTATTGAGGATCATTTTCAGGATCATATTCTGGATCCTTTGTAATTTGAGATGGTGGCTTTTTGCGCAACTCTCCCAGATTGGCATCCCAAATTCTATTACAGGAAGGATGATTTGTTTGTAGACAGCAAGCTTATTTTTCAGGGACAGGGTAGACCTCCTGTTGATGGGTGGATACAGTGATCTTATTAAGATGTTACACTTGGTTTTGGTTTGATCAACGTGTTCCCTGAAAATCAGGTTGCTGTCTAGTGTTAGACCGAGGTAGACTACCTCTTTCGCCCATTCCACCACTATGCCGTTCAGGCAGATCTTATTACTCTCCGACAGAAC